CGTGGGGGCACGGAGTGATGATGTGTGATTAATAGTATACAGATACGTTACTCGAATAAATTTGTCCTGTGATTCAAAAGCTTTTTATATAATTATTTTGAGCGTATTTAGAAACTAAAGGCCTGAAAATTAGACTATAAGATAGTTCACTGTAGCCATATAACACATAAAATCTGAAAAATATTTTAATTATACACTAGTTGATTACGATAAATGGTGCAGATGGTACATATTTATTATAGGCCATATTGCTTAAGTTCATAAAATATAATCAATCGTTACCATCCATAATACATAAGTCGTATCCAGTAACGTAGCCAGAAATTTGTGGGACCCAGATTCAGTATAAATTTATAGAAATCCTTCTTAAAGGTTAGCTTTAATTTTGTTTTGACGCAGAGTGATTATCACCCTTCCCCTCGTTCCAGGATTTTTTGATTTTAAATGGTTATTCCATTATACAACTCACATTTAAACATGTATTTAGTATTTTTGTTTTGTTGACAAACAGAATACCTTTCAAAAAACAACTTGTTTTCAGTAAACCACGAATCATATAATATGGTACTTTTTTATGTAGATTTTCCTCGTAGGCACTTTATAGTAACTTTAATCCAAAAAAATGTGATGTAAAACTATGGACATATTGTTTTTTGTCAATATGGCTACTAGTAAAGGTAAATCAGGACCATTCTAAATGGTATTTGTCATATTGTAAATAATATATTTATATATATAATAAAACAAGACTTGCCAAAATACCACTTGTTCTTCGTAAAAAAAAAAAAAATTATAAAAATTGTATTTATACTAGCATTTATAAAGGCGCATTGTATAAGCAATTTTTTACTAAAACCTAACATTAAGCTAAAATGTGTTAAATAGAAAAGGAGAACCTATTTTGATATTTAATTTTTTTCTACAATTTTTATATCGTATGCGGTATGTAGGATCTATTTTTGTACAAAAACCTGCGTTTCTACTTCAAACGTAGTGTCACTAAGAATACCTTGATTTAAGTTTTAAAAAAACATTTGAAAGCTTCATTACATTTTTAAGGCATCGATCGTGGCATAATTTTGTTTTTGTTAATAATTATTTAAGTTTAAAAAAAGCGAACAAAAAACAACTCAATATTTTCTAATGTAAAAAAACAGTACAATGGGGTCGGGGTAAAGTGGGAACGAAGAGTTCACAAGTACACAAACGTCCTATTTTACCTTTACAAGTAGTCATATGTAACAAATACAAAATTACCATAGTTTTCAATTACATTTTTGAGGATTTAAAGTGCTAAAAATGCCAAAGCGCAAAATCTACATTAAAAATACCATATTATATGATTTGTTGTTTTTTGAAACGTATTCTGTTTTGTTAACAAAACCAAATTGATAAATACATGTAAATATGAGTTATAAAATAAAATAACCAATTAAAATCAATAAATTCTGGGACGAGGGAAGGGTGATGATAATCAATCTGCTCAAGATTAAAATTATTACCTATATTTTAAAGAACTACCTTATTGTCTAATTTTTAGTCATTAAGATTCTAAATACGCTCACAAAAGTTATATACAGAGCTTTTGAATCGCCGGACAAATTTCTTCGAGTAACATAATATTATCTCTATAGATCACACTTCATCATGCCGCTGATGTGATATTTTCATAGAGATAGTTTATAAATCAGATCTCATCTAAAAATGATTTTAAGTCATTTTTGATCTTGTTAGGACAAAAATGTAAACATTTCACCGTTTCCCTATTTAAAAATCGAATAAATGTACATACGATAAAAACGTACATTTTTAAGCAGGATATCTATAACTACGACATGTGTTATGGTTAGTCACAATTGTTTATATTTTATGAATTTAAACAATAAAAAACGGGTCTATGCCATTTTTGGTTTTGTAGACGTTATTTTAAGACGTCATAGTTGAAAATATCGTGCGCGTGTATTGTTCAAATATAATGTGTTTTCGTATTAAACTAGAAATATATGTAGGATACTCAAGTAGAAATACATAAGTATGAAAAAAAAAACAGATATGTGTAACGCTATGATGACTTAAGCTCAACTAATTTTGATAATGCAAAATAAAACTCAATTAAAAACATGTCTATATAAAATAATATTGTTCCTGGACCGAGCTGTTTATATAGTCCCAAAAGACATAAGTTAGCTTCAACATGTTCTTAATAGATTTGTTTTTACAAGCTCCAACCTCAAGTATTTAGTTTGGCCTTTTATGTACTTAAATGTTTGAACCATTTATTTTCTTCTTTTATAGAACATTGACTTTACTAATATAAAATTGCAATTATAAACAAGATCGATCTAGTTTTTTTTCAAATGGCTACAATTTTTTTTAAATTCTTAAAGATGTCTAAAAAATAAATTAAATTTATTAACATCAAATACGGCGGTGAAATAACAGTGTTGCCATTGCTCTAGATCTATCTTCATAACTAGATTTTATACATTAGATTCTTAAACTGTGCCAAAAAATGTAATGGGTAAAAAGAGTTAATGGTATTTTCTGGATTAGAGTCTGTGTACATCGGTATTTAGAACTGATCTAATTATTTGTCCACAGAATTATTGCATGATGTTTTCAAAATTTGTAAAATTGTTAATCTTAAAAAGTTGCGGTAATGTATAGGCTAAGATGGAGTGTTTAGTGTATCGATATTAAACTTAAACAAATAAAATGCCGGGCTTAAAACGTTTAAAAATGTATATGAAACCCTAGTGCATAATGACTAGTAAAGACAGACTTGCATTATTAAACGATATGTTAAAAAAACACTGCAATATCAAAAATTGATTTATTTCGGCCATTGGCTAGTCTTCAAATATAACTAGTCCTTTATATTACTTTAAATACCTATACATTTTACACCACTAGTGTGAAAAACTTAAAACGACTCATAATATGTTATTAATTTTGTTGGAACACTTAAATAAATAAGTTGCTTAAAAAAAGGTATAGTTGGGCTGTATTAAACCAGGTTCTAGATCCAAAAACAATAACTTTGTGGGTTTTTTACATGTTTTTTATTTGTAACAATAGTACACAAAATGTACTTATTTGGCTAAACATTTTAGCAAAATATGAACACATACTGTATACACATTAATAATACATTAACAATGAAAAATGAACAATCCCTTTACCTACCAAATAAAAATGACTCATAATATGTTATTCATTTTGATGGAACACTTAAATATATAAGTTGCTAAAAAAAAGGTATAGTTTAGCTGTATTAAACCAGGTTCGAGAACCAAAAACCATATTTTTGTAGTTTTTTTACGTTATTTAATTGTAACAATTATACACAAAATGTAATTTTTTGGCCAAACATTTTAGCAAAATATGAACACATACTGTATACACAATAATAATACATTAAAAAATATGAACAAATAATGAACACAACAACAATGTACACTTCCTTCCCTACCATATGCGTCAAATAGATATATGCAGCACATATCTCTGTATATAATGTCAGCAATTGTACGGTTGCTCTAGTATAGTATTCAGCATTTTTGGTGCTTGACTTTAACTTAAAATCCAAAAGTACATATTAAATTTAGCATTTCAAAATTGATATTTTTTAACATAATATTAGAGTATAGTTTCTTAATAAAAATGAATTTGAAAATGATTATTTTGTTTGCAATATCCGCATTTTTCATTGTAATGGCAACGTTTACAGGTACATAAAAAACAGTTAGAATACAAATGTAAAAAAAAGACTTCGACTGATTGTAATTAAAAACAAGTGTTTTTTTACAATTAAATTAACTTTTTATCGTTATTAATTAATTTATGTTCTACAAATCTATTTTTCATGTTTTAGGTGTTGATGGAAGTAAGTTTATTATTAAATAGCTGTATTTTTATTTATTAATCGTATTTCAATGACTTCAATAATTTATATCTCAAAACTATTTTTAGTTTTTCGATAAAGTATAATAGCAGTTTTTAAATGACTTAACCGGCTTTTAAAATAATATATATGTGGATATTTGCTAACCTATATTATTAGATTTTTAGCAATATATTATATAGCTTTGTTTGTTCAGTATTAAAATTATTTTATATAACTTATACGTGGAACATATATATATATAAATATATATGGCTATAATGAAACTAAACGCTTTTGGATGAAAAAATATATACATAATTTATACACAAGGATAAAAAAAGTAATTTTTTTTTTAATATTTCAGTGGACTCGGGAGATGAACGTAAGTAATTGGATAGTATCAGTATATGGGCTTTACAAATTTACTAGCAGAGTTTAAATTATTTTTAATAAAACTTAAAATGTGTATAAAATGTTTCAAATATTAACCCTTCTTGGTGGTTTACTTTAATTTTATTCCTAAAAATTGTATTTCATTTAGCATTTTAAAAATACATATTTATGATACTATTTAGGAATATGAATTTTAAAAGCGTAATTCTAATTATAACAACCTTGTTATGCATTATCATATCTATGTCAAAATGTAAGTACATAAAAACCGTTTAGTATACAAATGTAACAATAATGAGGTTATGTTAAAATAAAATGCTTTTCCAAAATATAAATAAATCATTTTTAATATGACATCTGATGATTTTTTTAGAAAAATAAATTCAAAACTAGATTATATACTCATAAAGTTATTTATATTTTACAAATCTATCTTTTATGTTTCAAGTAAAAATGGAATATTTTAAAATATTTTTGTTAGGTACTGTTAATAAATAAAGAAATACAATTTTTTTTCGTGTTTCTCTAAAAAAAAGTTTACATTCGGATATAAAGTTATATAATCATTAGCAATATTATATAATTTTGTTTATCCAGTCATACATTTTTTTACATAAATTACTTAAACGTGAAGCATACATGTATATAATTTATGCATGATAGTTTATACACAAGGATAAAAAATAAATATTTAAGTCCTTTTTTTTTTTCAATTTTTTAGATGATGAGGGGCGTAATAGACGTAAGTTAATTGATAATATCAGTTTATAAGCTTTACAAATTTACAAACATACTAGTAGTTTTTAAATTATTTTCAATAAAACTTAAAATGTGTATAAAATGCTACAAATGCTATATGTTGTCGAAAATAAGAATACGTTTGGCATGTCCATGAACATATTGTATAATTTTGCATATCCAGTTTGGGATAATATTATTTTAAGAATATTACATGTGGCTAAAAGAAAATTATATGGTTTGGGATCAAAATAAATATATACAGTTTAGGTATGCTGCACTAGGATAAAGAAAAATGTATATTTAAGAAATTTATTTTTATTTTGTAGTTAAGGAATTCATTGTAGAACAATCAAGACAAACAGCACCACCACCACCACCACCTCCACCACCACCACCACCAACACCAGGTGAGTTTTTGAGATTGTATAAAACTTATATAGGCTAAAAAAGTGGTTGATAATATAAGTTTTTGTGATTTACAAACATACTTTAAGTTTTAAAATTGTTTTCAATATAGCTGAAAATGTTGAATTATTATACTTAAAACTTGTTATAAACGATTATTTTACACATGATAGTTTAATATTTTAAAACGACAATTATTTCAAAACTAAAATAATGAGTATTAGTAAATCCTAAAATTGTATTTGAAAGGAAAATATCTTGTACATAGTAATTTATAAAGGAGCCTAACTTAATTTGAATTAAAATTCATGTGTAATATAATTTAAAATAAACGATTTTTTACACAATTTTTTAACATATATATTTATTTTAGCTAATAACTAACCGACGCTAACGACAGATAAATTTACCAACAAACCGCATGATCCGTATCACATTCTGAAAATTCATATGCTTAGCTACTAATATGTGTATATTGTAAAATGTTCATCTGAATGTTCATCCTAATTGTGTTGAAACCTTCAGATTTTTCTATGTGATATGTGCTGCACATTGTTCATTCTTAATGTATTATTTTTGTGTATACTGTATGTGTTCATATTTTGCTGAAATGTTTGGCCAAAAAAATACATGTTGTGTACTATTGTTACAAATAAAAAACGTATAAAAAAACCACTAAGTTATTTTTTTTGGTTGAAAAATCCATTAATTACTTCTAATAAATAGCTTATAATTTTTATTTTGACGCTGAGTGATTATCATCCTTTCCCTCGTCCCAGGATTTATTGATTTTAAATGGTTATACCATTTAACAACTCACATTTTAACATGTACTTAGTATTTTTGTTTTTTGTTAAAAAAAAAGATAACTTTTCAAAAAACAACTTGTTTTCGGTAAACAACAAATGTTATAATATGGTGTCTTTTATGTGAAGTTTGCGTGTAGTTACTTTATGTGTATAGTAACTTTAATCCTGAAAAATATAATCCATGGACATTTGGGTTTTTTCAAAATATGACTACTTACTTGTAATGGTAAAGTAGGATGTGTGTAACTGGTATTTGTCATATGTAAAATAATGTATGTAATGTAGGGTAATGTTGACTTTGTACAACACAGACATTTTTGGCTAAACTTTTTAATACAAGTTGTAATTTAATATACTATACTTAAAATAGTAACAATTAAACTCAAGGACCTTCGTCCTTATCTTTTTGTCGTAAGGATTGTAATAAGTAATTTAAGTAGACATTTGGATTATTGTATTTTCGTTAAATCTTCTGTTTATACAAAAGCTAAAAACACATTTATTATTATTTATTATGAACATAATAAAAAAAAAAATGTGTTAACTAGAAAACATCAAGATGTACGTAGGTAACAAAAAGTTGTTTTAAGTATCCTTATTAGTTTTTATACAAAATTTGTATTCGCTACATTTTTGGAAAAATATAGTACAAAATCCAAACTATCAGAAACACAAATAATAAAACTAGATTTGCTAAAATACAGCTTGTGTAACAAAGAAAAGAAAAAAATCTATAAAAATTGATCTATAAAAATAAACTTATAAAATGTGTAACTTATAATAAGTTTTTAAGTTAAAGGGTCTCTACACCTTCTTATTTTTGATAAAAAACAACTCATTTTACTTTTTCATAACATTTTCGAGGCATTGATCGTGGCACATATTTTTTTTTTTTTTCAGATAATTTATTATTTTAATGTAAAAAACTGATTTTTAACTAGCTTATAATGTTTATTTTGACGCTGAGTGGTTATCATCCTTTCCCTCGTCCCAGGATTTATTGATTTTAAATGGTTATACCATTTTACAATTCACATTTTAACAAGTACTTAGTATTTATGTTTTTTGTTAAAAAAAAACAGAAAACTTTTCAAAAAACAACTTGTTTTCGGTAAAGAACAAATGATATAATATGGTATCTTTTATGTGAAGTTTGCGTCTAGTTACTTTATGTGTATAGTAACTTAATGTGTATAGTAACTTTAATCCTAAAAAATATATTCTATAAACATTTGGGTTTTTTCCAAATATGACTACTTACTTGTAATGGTAAAACAGGATGATTCTAACTGGTATTTGTCATATGTAAAATAGTGTATGTAATGTAGGGTAATGTTGACTTTGTACAACACAGACATTTTAGGTAAACTTTTTAATACAAGTTGTAATTTAATATACTATACTTAAAATAGTAACAATTAAACTCAGGGACTTTCGTCCTTGAGTTTAATTGTAGTGTAAACAAATGGCAAACGTCTGTTGGTCATAAGATTCAACTTTATTATTGCTTTTTAGAAAAAACAAGTTGTTTTTATAGGTCGTTTCGTCGTTTGTGAATAAAAGGGTTTGAATTATTTTTCTGAAATTACTGTAGCAATGTAAAAAAATGAAAAATCTTCAAAGCTTAACACATTAAACAGTTTTATGTTTTACAAAAAAATGTATAGTTTTTTTTTTGTTTGACTTAGGATCAACTAATATTCAAATTACAAAATCTGCTAAAAAACACATTATTTTGGCAGTAAACAAATTGTTGAGGTATTGATGTTTTCCCCTGCTCAATATGTTATAGATAGAGTCCTACTTTCTGACCAATTTTTAACTGTGTGGTCTTAAAGTTACGCCTGTAAAACCAAAATATGTCCATCACCCGTGATAGGACAGCGATGAAAAAGTATAATTAAAAATTGAGGCTACTGTCGTGGAACACGTGTGATCTATAAAGATAATATGTATGTTATTCGAAAAAAATTGTCCAGCGATTCTCAAACTCTGTATGTAACTTCTATAATCGTATTTAGAAACTTAATGTCTAAAAATTACACTATAAGGTAATTCTTTAAAATATAGGTTATAATTTTTAGTTTTACGCAGATTGATTATCAACCCTTCCCCTCGTCCTAGGATTTATTGATTTTAATAAATTTATTCCATTTTACAACTCACATTTAAATATGTATTTAATATTTTTGTTTTGTTAACAAAACAGAATACGATTCAACAAACCACTTGTTTTCGGTTAACAACTAACCATGTTATATGGTATTTTTTGTGTAGGCACTTATAGTAACTTTAATCTTAAAAATGTAAAACAATGTACATTTGGTTTTTTTGCCAAATATGACTACTTGTAAAGGAAAAATAGGACGATTTCAATTGGTATTTGTCATATTGTATCCATAATGGGACTATGTAAAAAAGCACATAAATTTATGTGTACATTTGCAAAGACTTGTTTTTTTATGTTTCAAATAAACATTTGGATTCTTTTAACTTTACTGAAATCTTCTGTTTACACAAAAGCTAATGATAGATTTATTATTGCATTATGAACACAATAAAAAAAAAATTTTAGTTAGACTTTTTTTTTAGTTAAACTATTAAATAATATTAATTCAACTATAATATTAAGTCAAAATCAGAACAAATACAGATTAAGTATTCGCTATAGCTTTTGTAAAGTATAGTTCTACTTTGAATGCTTGTTTGTTAAAACATATAAAGAGAAATAACAAAAAAAATAATCGTTTCAAAAAACAACTTGATAACTGAGAAAATGTATAAACAGTGAAAAAAAACCTCCAATTGCACCTATGACTCATAGGCTGTGAGGCAGGTGTTATTGCAATTTGGGTCAGAGGCTAAACGAAAAATAATGTTATATTCAATAAAAATGTGAATTTATTTTATAAATACATTATTGCTACTGCACCCATAAAAGTTTTATATTGAAACATTTTCAAGAATTGAATCAACTTCCCATCCGCACTTCCGCAAAGACTTATTTTTTTATGTTTCAAATAAACATTTGGATTCTTTTAACTTTAGTTAAATATTCTGTTTACACAAAAGCTAATGATAGATTTATTATTACGTTATGAACACAATGAAAAAAAATGTGTTAACTAGAAAAAGAGATGTACATAAGTAACAAAACATACTTTTAAGTATTATTAGTGGGTTTTATACAGAATATGTATTCGCTATATTTTTGAAAAAATATGGTACAAGTTCAAACGATCAGAAACACAAATAAGAAAACTAGATTTGCTAAAATACAACTTGTGCATAACAAAAACAATAAATAATAAATCTATAAAAGTTGTTTTTGTAAAATACAACAGTTCTTACATTAGGCATCTTCACTAGCATTTATTAGGGCGCATTGTTTAGGAATTTTTTTACTAAAACTTAACATTAAGCTAAAATTTATATATATTAGAAAAGAAGTATCTATTTTGATATTTAATTTTACGAACATCTTTTTCTGTATTTCTACTTCAAACGTACAGTTCCTAAGATAACTTTGATTTAAGTTTAGAAAAAACATTTGAAAACTTTTTAAAATTTTTAAGGAATCGATCGTGGCACAATTTTGAAATTAATTTTTGTTAACTAATTTTTTTAGTTTAAAAAAGTTAAAAATCACAGGTTTTTTACACTAAAATAATAAATTTTCTGAAAATAATTAAAAAAATTGTGCCACGATCGATGCCTCGAAAATGTTAGAGACCCTTTAACTCATAAAATGTGTGGTGCAAACAGTTATTTATGTTTTGTTTACATTATCAAACGACATAAATCGTATCGTGCGATTTTGTACAACACAGAAATCCTAACTAAAATAATAGTGTTTAATCATATCCAATATATATATTAGGATTCCCATTTCACCTTATAACATATAATAATCATATACTATTTATAGTATAAATTTTTTTGTATTATTATTTTAAGATGCCCAAGAAAATTTGTTAATTTGGTTCATTATTTATAATATGTATTGAATAACACAATTTAAAAATACCATATATAATTATTGTAAAAGCAGGGTTCTACAGTACAAGAAAATAAATAGTCCAACATTTGAGTACAAAAATAACGGAACGTTATACTTTAAAAAATCCCTTTTTTCGAAATTTTTATTAGTAGTTTGTTTGTAGGATTTACAAATATTTGTTGCGATTTGAAGAAACTAGGTCGATCTTTAAAATGTATGTAACCTATAGTTCATTGTCATTAATTTAAATGGCTACAGATATTGTGAAAAACCACATGTTTTCGATAGGAATAAAATAAAACTATACAAATTGTTAAAAAATACTGTATATTCTAATGTAAGAAAAAATATCGTTGGTTTTTGAGTAAACAGTAAAATATTGGAACACATGCAATTTTGTTTAACTCTAAAAATCTCTTTATGTAGCTAAGTATATTTAGAGGGGAAACAAAATTACATTTTAATAATATTATAAAAATAAAAAAAAAAATTATGAAAAAAATATAAAGTTAGTTTGCGGTTAAATGGTATTAAAGATTTCAGGGTTCTCTTTTAACGTATTAAATGTGTTCTATCAATTGATTTCATTTACAAAATAATGTGATTTTGTACACGATTTTACAAAAAAATCAATTGCACTCACCTTATTGTGTATTCGGTATATT